AGGCCGGAGTCCGGGCAACGGCCTTCTGTGAGTCAGCAGCTCGTATGGTCCGCTGCGGTGACCAGTGGAGCTCGGAGATGGGGAGATGATGCCCTGCACAGCCTGAGCGTGCTCCGACGCTCGGTGGAGAGGACCGGGGAGACCGGCGGAGCTCCATCTAGCTCGCTCTGAATTTTGTCCTCGGCCACCAAGCACAAAAAAACGCCTGCACTTCAGCATTAGACCACTGTGTTGTCATTATTGTTTTAAAAATCTTTAAAATAGGTCCAGCCGCTACTCCGGTCCGAGAAATTGCAAATGGCGGATCGACGTTTTGAAAAGTTTCTGAAAGATCCAGTGACTCCTCCCCCTGACCAATCAGTGACCGACAGTGCGCTGACATCACATCTGGACCCAACAAGAAGCAGACCTGGGACCCCAGAGAAGTAGGTCCCAAAAATCGTGCGGGTTCCACCGCTGAAGGCGCTGTGGAGAAACTACAGTAGGCAATCGGCCCAAACTGGTTACATAGGAGCCCCAAAAGGCCCTGTGGATAAGGGGCTTTTGAGTACCGGTAATTGCAAATGGCGGATCGAGTGTTGAAAAAAATTCTCAAACCCTTCTAGTGACTCCACTCCTGACCAATCAGTGACCGACAGAGTTCTGATGTCACGTTTTGGTGCCGGCTCGGCTCAGTTGTTACCCTTGAGAAGAAGGGACCAAAAAAGATGCCGGTTCCATGAAAAAGTGATCGTGGAGAAGTGCTCTGAAGCGTACCGAACTGAGTGGAGTCGTGTTGAAGAGGAGCTGTGGAAAAGAGGCTAAAGTAACGGAGCTGCTCCAACATGCAGCCATCTTGAGCAACGCCATTCTAGAATGAGTGAAAGTGCCCTGCTCTGATAAATTCAGCTCTTTGGCATCGACTCGACCCACCGTGTTTGTAGGAAGAGAAATGCCCACCTAACAAACACCTTATAGTTGAGCACGGAGGTGAAAGCATCATGTTTTGGGCTGGTTTTTTTTGGCATAGAGTACCATACGACTTCAGCGCATAGATGTGCACTGTAAGGTCTCGAAAAAGAACCAGGAAGAACACTGAAGCTGGGTCTCCGAGCACGACAGTGACTCTGCGATGGTCTGGGCCTGGATCAGGTTTCTGAGATGGCAGCTTCAGTTCAGCAGATTTAACAGTAACCTCCTTTCTCCCACCAAGACTTGATTTGGCTCAGATGGTCGATCTGCACGTGGGCCCGAATCGATCAGCAGTCCCCTTACGGAGCAGCGACCGTTGCAAAGGTGACAGAATCACGACAGTCTCCTCTCCTCTGGAGTAATTCTTTTACCAAGGCTGCAATCGGGTTTGTCTCGGACTGATAGCGGACGCCCGGTTTATCTAAACATGCACCCAGAAGCCAGCTCAACCCTGCAGCTCAGATAAGGCAGACGAATGACAGGAGGACGAAAGTACAAGTGAGTGGAGGAGATCTGAAGCGTTCGTGGATGTCTTTTATTTATTCGCTCCTCCTTTGTTCAGAAAGACCACAAATGGAGTTATTTGACTGATGAATTAGTCTCCCTCTCTTTTGAAACAACGTGGGCCACATCGATCAAAGTGTCAGGGTTTCCTGCAGCACTCGCAGCCATCCATCACCTCTCCGTCCTCGTTCCAGGTGACGTTTAACATTTGTGTGAACGCTCTCTGTTCAACGTGTCTGCACAGGGAACGGATGAGCTGCTGTGTCCTTCTGGAGTCGGAGGACAGAACAAGCTGAGATGCTGCGATGTTGGTTTGGTGCTCACAGCAGGACAAAACTGGACGCCCTTTGACCTTTCAGCCATCGGTCAGCAGCATCTCCACCTGTTCCCGACTGCAGGAGACGAAGAGGGTGAGTTCTGAGGACGCACACCAAATGAAAGCTTTGCTTTCTTGAAGCATCCAACAAAAGGAAAAAACAAAACATTTATCCTCACAAGCCTTAAAAGTTTATCTAATATAGTTAGCGCCAAGCGATGAAGCAGGCAGTTAGCTAAGTCTTGCATCTTTTTATTTAAAACAAATCTTCTAGTTGGTGCTTTTAGGAACCTTTTCATTGCCCTTGTGTCTAATAACAAGCAAAGTTATTTTTCATCGAGGCAGAAAGTAAAGTTTCTCCTAATCTGTTGAGGATTGTATATTTTAAGACGTCCAAATGTGGCGTTATAATAAAAGCCCGTTTCTGTTTCACTGTGATCCATGTCTCTTCCGCACGGTTTTCCACGTGATTCTCGTTCCACGGTTTTTGTGCTATTTCAACAAATCATAAAACGTTCGGCTCTTTCAGGACAATCCTGCTGTGACTTTTGGTTTTGGTGCAACTTTAGCTTTTTGAAATGTTTAGCCTTTTCTGCCATTTTTATTCTCATAGAAAATGAATTGAGCTCATTTTACATCCTTCAGCTCTTTAGATCTGTTTACAACCTTCTACTGCCCCTTTCACATTTTGTTCTGCTTCAGCTTCTTTCAGCTGTCTTCTGCAAATTTAAACTTTTTTCAGCTAGTTTTAGCTGTTTTTTCAGCTATTTTGTTTTCCATTCTGATTCTTTCTGCCAACTACAACATTTTTGTGCTTCTTCCAACTTCTTTCTGCTAATTTCAGCTTGTTATGCTCATTTCAGCTGATTTCTGCTAGTTTCAGTTATTTCAGCTAGTATTTAGCTGTTTAATGCTAATTTAACCATTTTCAGCTAATACCACATTTTTTGCACTCCCAACTTTTTCAGCAAAAATGTGCTCTCCACTTCCTTCTGGTAATTTAAGCTTCTTTCAGCCTTTTTAGCTACTTTTCAGCTGCTTTATTAATTCAGCTTTTTTTCAGAAAATGTTCACTTTTTTGCGCTCATTTCTGCTTCTTTCAGCAAACGTGTTCTTTGTTTTCTTCTGCTACTTTAAGCTTGTTCTATCTTTTCAGCTACTTTTTTTTTTAGCATTTTGTTAATTTTAGCTGTTTTCAGATAAATTCAAGTTTTTTTTGTGGTAATTTCTGCTACTTTCAGCCTTTCTGCTAATTTGGTCAATGGTCATTTCAGCCTTTTTCTGCTATTTTCAGCTTTTTCTGCTATTTCAGATACTTTTTAGCTGTTTTGCTTTTTCAGCTATATCGACAATTTTTTAGCTCATTTCAAGTCCTTCCTTCTGGTAATTTAAGCTTCTTTCTGCCTTTTCAGCTACTTTTCAGCTATTTTTAGCTCATTTCTGTTTTTTTTTTTTTTTTTTAGCTATATCCAATTTTTTTGTGCTCACTTTTGCTTATTTAAACCTAATTCAGCAAACGTGTTCTTTCTGCTTTCTTGGGAAAACGTAGGCTTGTTCTTTATTTTCAGCTACATTTCAGCATGTTTTTAGCTAATTTCAGCTGTTTTTCAGCAAGTTCTTCAGCAATAAGCATTCACACTGCATTTTCACAGGAAATGCAGTTTCTGTAGTTCATCTTTAACTTGGCTGTTTAACTTTATATTTTCATGAACTGTGGGAAGTTGGTTTCCTTTGAAGGCGCTCATAAAATCCAGCAGTGCCATCAGTCTGAGGGTTAGAGACGTGCTGCCTGGGAGGATAATTTGCTTCTTTTTCCAACTTCTCTCTTGTTGTGAACTGTATTATCTGTTCAGCCGAATGCCTTATGGACGCCGAGCTGCTTTGTGATGTGCGGCTGCCGTTTCAGGCAGAAAGCAGGTCACTTTGAGAGCTGTGGGCTCTCCGTGTCCACTGCAGAGGGGTCAGCAAAAAGCAATTTGCATTTTAACACCAAGGGAAGATTGTGAGCAGAGTGTCGCTGCTGCTGGAGCCGAGCCCCCTCCCCGTCGTGTTTGACACCTTGATTATAAAAAGACATGATCACGCTACAGGCCGACCACCCAAAATCTGAATTTATGACCCTCGGATTGTTTATTGTTCTGTGTCTGTTGGTAGTCGGGGTGACCCAGGGTTTGGTTAAAAATACCCTAAAGCTCAACAAATTAAATCGGTTTGTGACTTGAGAAAAGCTTTTTCCCTTCTTGTTTTTAACGTCTGTTGCTGAAGTTGAGTTTGTTTGTGAGCAAATAATAATAAAAAAACAAGTGCTGACAAAAGTGCTGTACGACTGCAACGAACCGAAGTGCAAAACTGTAAGAAACAAACTCAAACAGCCAAAACCAGAAAACCAGTACAAAGATGTCTTTGGTTGAAATGCCAAAGAATATACAGTA